CCCTCCCCGCTCCCCCCTCCCGCATGAACCCTTGATAGTTTATAAATGGGTATTTTGTCATATCTTGCCCTGTCCGACGTCTCCCTTCATCCGCTTTTTGGTTGTCTGTCCCCCAGGGAGGAGGTCACACACTGTTTTCTTAAAGAGACTTCCTCCACTGCCAGAGATCTTGAATAGCCTCCTGCTCAGTCATCTGGAAGCAATTCTTCACATTATTGATGAATTTGGCTTCCACTTTGGGAAGAGAACCACCCTTTTCTATACTTGCTTGCATTTTTGCTTTAATGTCTTCTACAGAACTAGGGCCTTTCGGTGTTTTGGGAGTCTTTTCCTGTTTTTTGAAGGATTCTTGACGTTTGGATCTTGGTGTTGATGGTTTTGAGTCTTTTCCATTCTGGTTTGATTTTTGTGCATTTTTGGCTGGAGTCTCGTGTAGATTTCTTCACTGGATCTTTTTCTTCAGTTTCATTGTCGTCTTCATCATCATCTTCATTAGCGGCAGGTTTTACCTTTTTCTGTGGAACCTTGCACTTGTGGTGGCAGACCGCTTTCCCGATACACTTAAAAGTTTCACATCCTCCTCTTCATCATCTGACTCTGCATCTCCCTCCACAGCTACTAAATGCTGTCCACTACTATGCACAGACCCTGAGCCACACGTCAACCGTAAGACCACTGGTGGTGGTAGTTCAAAGCCCCCAAGGGAGGCCGTTGGCTCTACAGACATTTTCAAAGTTGCCAGTGTTACTTTAATTGGGCTGCCCTCATAATTCATTGCTTCCACTTCAACAATATGCAATTAATCCTTTGCACCAGCAACCTAAACTGACTGTTCTTAAAGCTAACTGGTGCTCATTTTCATCATTGTCCACCTGAAAGTGATCATCTTTGTCGGCCTTTAGTTCACAACCGGCAAGATAGTTTTGGGGCCTCAGGGGGCTCATGTCCATATCCATCGATTCTTCCATGGTGGGGTGAGACGCACTTCGGTGAGAGAAATGGAAAACAGGTAAACCACTGCTGCTGCTATACACAGCAGTGCAGGACGGAGTCA